CCCTTTTTTTTTTTTTTTTTTTTTTTTTTTTCTTAATAGAGTGAATGCTCCCAGGGCTCTGAGCCAGCTACAGAAAAACAACCAGCAGAGAAGGTTCACGAAAAAGAAATTATCCAATTAGAGATTAGCAAGGCTGTAAAAGGGATTAGGAAGTGACAGAAAGGAGGAACACCCTGCAAACGTCTATGTATGGGCCAAAAAGGCAGCCGAGAACAAGCTCTCTTCACCTCTCCCGCTCCCCCTGACGCATCCGCAGGACCAGCTTGTCCTGCTTGGCTGGGGTCTCCCCCTCCAGGGCCGAGGCAGCAGGATGTCCGCTGGTGGAAGCAGCTCTGCCTGGGGCTTCCAAGGAGGAGCTGGCAGCTGTGGTCTGAGTGGGGGCCTTAGCGGTGGCACCGGAGGAGGCTTTGGGAGCTGCTCCGCAGGGGATACGTGGGGCGCAGGCTTGGGCTCCGGGCCGGCTTTGGCGGGAGTTCCTGCTTTGGCAGGGGCTCTGGCTTCGGTGGAGTTTCTGGATTCAACACTGGTGCTAGTGGAGGCTTCTGCAGCTACAGGGGTGGAACGGAAAGTGGCTTTCGGGGTGTCAGTGGCGGCGGCAATGGGGGGCTTCTCCCTGGGAACGAGAAAGTCACCATGCAGAACCTCAGTGACTGCCTGGCCAGTTACCTGGACAAGGGCCGGGCCCTGGGGGATGCCAACACCGATCTGGAGAATAAAATCCAGGCGTGGTATGGCAGATTGGGGCCTGGGTCTGGAGATGGTGGCACCAGGAGAGATTGCAGATTGGGGCCTGGGTCTGGAGATGGTGGCACCAGGAGAGATCTCAGGAAGTAGGTGAGACACCGCCGTGGCTGGGCCCCTGTGGCAGACCTGGCACTTTTTTCAGAGCGTGTGTTATAATGAAAAATTTAAACCGAGGAATTATTTGAAAAATACAGCTGCTTGTCATAATTGCAAAGAGGGACCTGGTATGTCATGACTGTGGTGATCTTTACATCATTTCCTACCGCATTAATTTCCTGTTCATGTCTCAGATCTGAGTAATCTACAAAAGAGCAAAATTCACACAATCCCAGGCAGCTAAGCGACAGTATATAGAAGAATGACGGCCGTAAGCCTATATTAGGTTAATCTGCTTTGAGATTAATTCTGACAGGTTGGCACGTTTTAGTATCTCACTAGATTTGAGTAATCTTTGGGACTATTTTTCTTCCTGGAAAATCTAGTGTAAATATTGTATAAGAAGACAGTAGGGGGAGGAAAAAAGACAGTAGAACCAAAAATGTTTGGCCACCGCTGTATGGGAAAAGGCATTTCCCGGAAGTAAAAATCCATTTTTGCACTATTTTCTGAGAGAGCCTAGGGAATAAATAATCCTCCGAGCCATGGAAATGTACAGACAGTGGTGTCCTAGAAGCCCCAGTCTGTGCCTAATTCCAATAAACGCGCAAGCTGTTACCCTTTCTGCAGAAAGACGTAGCCCTGCATACACAGGGGCCTTCCTTAAGCCGGCAGACCCACCCTCTCACAGTGAGTGACCCACGAGACACCACCCTGGCTGACAGGCCGGAGGGCACAGGGGAAAAGGCCCCCTGTCATCCGCTCACTGTTGTCTTTCCTAGATCGCGGCTGCCGCTACTGAAAATGCTAGGACCATGCTGTAAGTCGGCAATGCCAGGCTGGCCGCCGATGACTTCAGGCTGAAGTAAGAAGTGAGAAGAAAAGTAAAACTCAACCTAAATTCACTTTAAAAATTCATACACACGCCAAGGGGACACTGGACGCCAGCATCCCACAAAATGGAAAAGTGGCAAATCTGGAGGAGAAGGTTGTTATGAAATTATTCGGCGGGATCAGAATCAAGGCTGGATTCCTAGTAACGGGGGGAGGAGGAGTCTCCACTCATCAGGACTCTGCCCTCCCGCCACCCCCCAGGTACGAGAACGAGAACGAGCTGTGCCTGCGGCAGAGCGTGGAGGCCGACGCCAGCGGGCTGCGCAGGGTGCTGGACGAGCGGACCCTGGCCAGGGCCGACCTGGAGGTGCAGATCGAGGGCCTCGCGGAGGAGCTGGCCTACCTGAGGAAGACCCGCGAGGAGGTGGGCGGCGGGGGCCTCCACCAGGGCCCCAGGCCTCTCCCCTCACCCACTCTTTTTCTGCATGCATGCACCCCGCACGCCACGGCCCCAGAGGAAAACCGGGCAGTGTGCTGAGGACGGTGGGCCGGGTCCTGGCGGCACATTTGTACTGCTTGCCCCGATATGCGTGCTCGTGTTCTCCCCCACCCGTGGGCTAGGAAACGAGGGCTGTGCACGGGAGCTCGGGGGGG